GGCAAAAGATGCACGAAGCACGGCCGCGTTATTCGAGACGAAGCGGATAACCGTCACGCATAGGGCACTGTGCGACCACGACACTGCTCTTCACACACTCCAGTAGCAACTTTGAACTTTGTAGAAATATATTAAACGTAATCCTTGATGTCACACCCAAACAGCACAATAATCCCTCACCCGTTTTCGTTAGTGGCGACGCGCGTGTGTGCTCGTAATCGTGGCTCCTCGCATCGCTCGTTGCTCTTTCATTCCGAGTCCGTCGCTCAGGAAACGGCTGCGACCTTTTTTCCCTTTCTTTTGAAATTATTCGTCGACAAATCTCACGAACGTCGGACGTAATATAACAATAGATATTTATCGGCAATGTGTACGAATTCACTCGAGTTTGCCGTCGTCGTTGTCGAAGCGGGCTTCGACCAATACTGCGGTGCTTCTACCGGATGTGGCCTTCGGTATAACGGACCAATGAAATCAGAGGTTTGTTCGCGCAACGCCCGAACCGGGGCGGCTGCTGCCGATGCTTTTCTCTTATTACAGTGTGGCAAACCGAAGCAAACCTTTGGTCAGGACAATTTTTCGTGCGGCGACTACGTCCTTTGTCTTTTTCCTTTGAATGTAACGCCAAGAAGGCAATGATCTTCGAAAAGAAAAGAGAAATGTGTTCTTTGATTTTTTTATTGCGTTTCATTTTTCTCTTTCGATATTATAACCAATAAGGAAACTGTTCTACCTCTTAGTCATACATAGTTTCGGACGCGCCAATAACGTTCTTATCAGCATACGCTACAAACGATTCTATTGGTGAATCAAATCTTCACCTATTGCGTAACTTTAAACATTGATTATGATTGGACATGTATTTCTTACGTGGATTAAAAGATACCAACCGTTACAAATATTAAAAAGGAGAAATTTATAAAACATTGCAAAACGTATATTATAGCAGGAATATTAAAAAAGTAATAATTGTAAAGTTATTTTATATTCTTCATTATGTAAGTTCGATTATTTATATTTGCATTAGATAACATTTCAAATTTTACTTTCGATTAACTTCGACGGATATTCCTGCTAATTATTTCTAAAGTTGGAAACTAAGATGTGATTGGCTGAAGTAAGTAATACGTAACACAATGTATATCTATCTAGATATTACAAAGATACGATCTGTGATTTTGTAAATAGAGTATTTAATAGAATCAAAACACGGTACTTTCGTAAGCAGAAGTAGTATTTTAAACTCCTGAGGCTATTATTTTTTCGAATGAAAATTTACTATATACATACAATGTACATGAAATCAATTTATTGATAATTAAAGGTAAGATTTTGCACGTAAATATTCCAAATGACCTTGTAATAACTTACTATAATATACTTTAAATGAAAAAAAAAAGAAAAAAAGAAAAATAATTATAAATATTCATATGGATGAATGTAAATATTAAAAATATTAATTTCTTAATATGATAGAGACTGTTATTATACTAATTTGCATGTAAGCACAACAATTGTTTATTTATAGAGATGACTGTACATAATCTTTAGTTTTGCATCTATGGCATGTTTATAAGTAAAGGTGCAGATCCTATTTTTATACAGAGATGTGAATTATAAATTACATTATACATTAATTGTTTTAGATATTTGTTACAATTAATTAAAAACTATTGATTAATGTTATCTTTAAACGGTCCATTTCTTGTATAGTTTTGAACATAACAAAAAAATGATGAACACAATAGAGTTCATTAAAAGTAGTGTTAGTAATATTTAATGGCACCGATATTATTTTTTCTAATCGTTTATATTATTTATAAATAAATATTTATATTATCATAACTACAGTAGGACATAAATTAAATAGGTTATCAAGATGAATCAATATTGAATAAGTTGAAACTACCTATTGTATATTATAAAAGTATTTTTCACATATACGACTTAACTATGTATCTCAAATGATAAAAGCTTAGATAGATAAAAAGCCATAAAATTAAACCTTGCTTAATGAAAGTCCTACTGTATTTTGATATTTTTCTTAAATATTCACAATAGTGGCTAAAAGATAAGAAAAAGGTATAATTTTGATTATATAATTGAAATGCAATAAATAAGATCACCAAAAGGTAAATGATAAAACAAATAAAAAGAAATTTCTTAGATCACTGGTTAGCGTTTGTATTATTCTCTTATAAACAAAATGCTATGCAATTAAATGATAAAACTATATCACACATTATTTGTAATCTTTATCAATGACTATATAGAATCAATATAAAAATATATTTCTAGTATTTGTTTAAATTTTTTTAATAAAACTGAATACATATAACGTAAAATAGAAACACAATATTTATAAAATGTAATACCAATGAATTTTTTCTATAAATATTTTTCAAGCATCATCATTTAATTGCAATATCTTTATCACTTGGATACGTTCAATATATTTATGTGTAATGTCCGATAATTACATATATTATTACTAAAAATTTTAACATTATTGGAATGGACATTAGTTCTCATAATTAAATCTGGTAAAATCAACATATTATATTAAAGCGTACGCACGTGCATATATATATATATATATATATATATATATATATATATATGCACGTATGTATGGATTTGCAACTATTTATCATCATATTACAAAAATACTGCTCTAAATTAAAATTGTTACATACGTAATGAGTACGTTTATATGCTTTAGTACTATAATAAATAATAAAGGATCAAGAAATGCTGCAATTAAAAGTTTATCTATATAGTTTTTTAAAATTTTTTGTTGAAATTGTATAGAAAACCTTCTACTATCTTTGCCACTCAGTAAATGTATATAATATTTTTTACATAAATATCCTAACTTAATTAAAATAATGTTAGAACCATAATCAATATATTTGATTCAAAATAATATGCTTTATATTATTATCAGACAAGTAGATTATAGAGCATTATAGAGCAATTGAATAAACGAGTATTACCGCGATTATTGTCGTTATCATATTGCTATTATATCTAACGCTAAATCCAAAACGTAAATGGCCATATAATGACGATTCTACTATTAATTAATCGCGACTATTATTAATGTTATTACAATTTTCGATATAAACATATATCGATGTTACATAAAAGAGAGAACACATTTAAAATAACTAGATCCAATAGATAGGCAGTATTTTACTGAACGCACACAATAATCGTGATTTTTATATAATCGTTACGATATAATATATATATATATATATATATATTCGTTACAATTTTTTATTTATTATTTATTAATAATTATTTGCACGTAGGAATTGTGCAGTGAGCCAATTAATCACGTTTCTTTATTTTATTTTAACAGCAAAATCGTTGGAATTGTTGTATAATTTAATAAACAACTATATTAGATCGCAAAACAATTACCAATAAATGCTACTAGGGCATTATTGTATTCGAACTGTTAACACACTTACACATTTCATATCGATATTGAATGGTCTGCTCCATTTTGAGTTTGTCTATGTTGTGGTAATGCTGTTAATTCATTTTTACTTAAATGATTAACGATTCCTGCACCAAGGGAATCTCCCATAACATTTACTGTCGTCCTACAGCGATCCCTAAAAATTACAAAAAATTTTTATTTATCGCCAGAGAATATTTTTTTTAAAGACCATTTCTTTCATCGAAAAACTATGAAGAAAAATCCACTTACAATAGCCAATCAACCGCAAGAATAAGGAAGACATCATTCGATGGAAGATGTACTGTGTCTAAAACCATCACCATAGTAACTAATCCCGCCTGCGGGATCCCAGCTGCTCCGATACTTGCGGCAGTTGCAGTAATACTGAAAAAGTCCATGAAGTCAAAAGAGATGTTTTTTTTCTTTCTCTTTTAATTATTATAATTACTATATGATATTTTGTGTGTGTGTGTGTGTGGTAAGCCACATAAAATGTACATATATGTAAATTTCTTTGAAGATATTAACATATAAGGAAAAAAAAAAAGAAATTACAAGATTTTACCTGATCGCCACTAATTGTCCAAAAGTGAGGCTGACTTCGCGAACTTGCGCTATAAAAATTGCGGCTACTGCTTCGTACAAAGCAGTACCGTCCATATTTATTGTAGCTCCTATCGGTAGTACAAATCTGGTTATTCGTGGATCGACACCGTTTCTTTCTTCGAGACAATTTATGGCAACTGGTAATGTCGCCGAACTCGATGATGTACCAAATGCAGTGACCAATGCCTGTGCCATATTGGATAGATAACGGTAGGGATTCTTTTTTGTTACCACAAAATACAATCCAGGTAGTATGATGAAACCGTGAATGCAAAGGCCAATTAGAACTGTTAGGAAATACATGCCAAGTTGTGCGACTATTTGTTCCAATGATTCCATTTCTACGATTTTTGCAGCCACCAAAAAAAGTATACCGATTGGCGACAACCTGATAAAACATCAATGAAAATTTCTTTGTCCTAGTAAATTATAAAGATTTTGTATTTGGCAAAAGATTCTTACCAAATTACCCAATTGGTGATTAACATCATGGCACTTGATAAAGATTCGAAAAAGTTCAAAAGTGGTTTCCCTTCTTGACTCATTTTACCTAGAGTAATACCCAATACGGTTGAGAAAACGACTAAACCGAGAATATTCATACCAGGAATATCCTTTTCGGTGAAATCCCAGTTATCCATATCGTCTATACAAAACGAAAAAAAAAAAAAGGAACAGAGGTAACAAAAGATTTGCATAATAATAAGTATTAAAGGACATGCGTAACTATATTTTACCTTGATCGCCGTTCACGGGTTTTTTGACTACTGTACGCATTTGAGAAATACATGCTTGCACCAGATTCGGAGGGAACATGTTCCTAACTAAATCTAAAAGCGTATCAACGGTTGATGAATTTTGTGAAAGAACTTTTTCTTCGTAATTAGCAGAGCTACCTACACCTGGTTGAATAGATATGACCAAAATTATACCTAAAAATAAAGTACATTATAATTAACCGAGGAATATATTAAAATAAAGTTGATAAAAGAGGTTTGTACCAACCGAGTATAACCGCACTAATCGTTGTGACCATGTAATAGGAAATAGCACGTGCACCGATTTTGCCACTGAGAGATAAGTCCAAGGATCCAATAGCTGAGATCAAACTTGACATGATGAGCGGCAGAATTAAACTCTTGAGCATTCTTAGAAATAGATCGCCGGCATAATTGATATACATAATCTCACGATTTGTATATCTATCGCTTCGGGAATTCCTTAGGATTATTCCTAAGACAATACCACCGACTACGCCAGCGACGGTTAGTATGGTCAAGGCATTGTGCCTCAAACATGATTGCATTTTTTCCTTCCTTGTTTGTGGCCTTTTACCTGGCTCTTGCGGATAATAGGAGGTCCTTTCAACTACCCTACCTTGCTTTTCCGGACCAGACAAAGGAGATCTATAATAAAAAATTTATCTATATTAAATTACAAAATATATAAATACAACTATATAGAAAAAGTAATTCTTTTGTCAAGTAGGAAAAAATTACCATTGTAATTTTCTACGATATAATTATTAGTCATTAATGAAAAGGTTTGCCTAAAAGGATGGGGTAGTTTATTGTCAATTAAATATTGTATAGTCATATCGTTATACCAATTAAATATTATTGGAAGGGTCTTAATACAATATATTAAGACTCTTCCATGATATAATTATTATCTATTAGTGAAAAGGTTTGCCTGCGAATTAGTTTATTGTCAGTTAAAAGAGTTTCAAATTCAAGTTCAAATCATAATAAAATTATTTGGAGTATCAAATTTTATTGTAAATTCTATAGCATTTAATAAGCTGTAGTACTTGATAATAACAATTCGATATGTTCGATAATAGACTATATGTTGATTAAATCATGCCATGATCAATTTGAATAGCAAGCAGTAAAATAGAGAAAGAGAAAGAGAGATAGAGATGAAGAGTTCATTGATTGATCAAATCAAACCTGACGATGTATAATGGCCACGCGTTTGATATGAGCGTAACAAACGGAACGCGTCGAAATTAAGTGTGCATTAGATTTAACATATAATTATTCAGTCTTTGGATTTCCTTTTAAATGCGAGTAAATTAAAGATAATATAGAAATCTTTAACGGATTGAACCGGATATCCACGTCTCTTCAGTTTCTTTGATTTTCTCGTTTACGAAATAGTATAGGTTTATCTCAAACTCCATAAAAAGAGCATATTTTATATCGAGTCGTCATCGACATCATCATCGTCGTCGCCATCGTTGTCGTCGTCGTAGTCGTTAAATCACATAAGTCGAGTGATTTGCGTTTCTTCGAGGTCGTACGCGAAACGAGATGTATAGCTTATGAAACGAGAAAGAAATCTTTTGCTCATTAATAGACGATTGCGCATCGTTGTATTTTTCTGTGGTATTTCTTATCTTTGCGTAATACATTTCTTCGATATAATGTGTGATGTATTTCTTATATGTATATATATCAACGGTTGATAAATATATATATAGGAAAGCCTTTTGAAAGAGAAAATTTTTATAAAATTTTTCAATGTTGATAATCGAGTTTAATAACGTCACATGTGCGTTATTATAATCGAACATTATCTATTTTTATAATGGATCATTTTATCTTTTGCGAAGTTTATAACATATACATTTGTATATTCTATATATCTATACTGTCTGTATATTCACATAAGCTCATTCCCCATTGCCAATGATCAAGGCAATAATATTTGACTTAGAATATTCTTGCTTCCGCAAAGAACCAATATAGAACGCATATAGAACAAACGTCGTCCGGGCCATGGGTGACATTTATTGCGCGTAGGTGGCATACGTACGAATAAACGGGCACACAGATGTCATCCGTGTAATAGCACATCACTCTTATTCTTTCAATAAGAACAAAAAAAAAAAAAAATAATAATAATAATAAAAAGAAAAAAAAAAGAAGAAGAATCATACGATTGATTCTTTCATCAAACAAAATGAAACAACGAAAATCATTAGTATATCTATGTTATATATGATCCCTATAAGATAAAAATATAAAAATTGGGAGTTTTAGAGACGTCGTAATTTCTATCGATTGAAACGTTTATGAATCTGCCTTGATACGAGCTTGGACCATGCGTGCAACCACAAAACAGGACGTGACGACATGGTCGCGAGCGATTGATCGCTTACACGTGTATGCGTGCGTGTTAAATTACTGTCTCGTGACACGTATTAATGACAGAGGGACCGTATAGTATCTATACTATGTGCAACAAGCTCTCATCTACTATCGGTGAATACCCGTGAAAGCTGAGAAAGGATCAATGGAACCCCTCCATGTTAAACGCAAAACCGTTTGGTTAAGATGAGAGAGACCCTGAGCTAGGACTTTTCTCGCTAATTAATTAACTAACTAAAGGAAAAATGAAATACATATATATATATATATATATATATATATATATATACATATATATACGTATATACGATAAAGAATTCCATGTTACTGAAATACAAACTGAATTATAAATCAGAAACAAGATCAAATGAGTCACATGTTTATATCAACTTGTTTCATTGCTTTAGTAGTATCTACTGTTTACCGATGAAATAGATCCCACTTGTTACGAAACACCCTGTATATAGAGTTGATGAGAGAGGATTTACGATATTGTCATATTTCTACTCTACGAATACTTAAGGTCCCTAAGTGTATATAAAGGAAAAAAGTGAAAGAGACTGTCTGTTAAATTACACAAGTACATTTACATTTGTAAAGTTAAGAAAGACATTAGTCAAGCCAGAAAACCAGCCAAACCGGACGAATTGCCAGGCAATCGAAGCGATACGCCAAGGCAAACAAGACCTGCCAAATCTTGGCGTAGAACTTTATTTTTATCTTGGTACATCGACACGCAAACTATTATCACGTTTTAAAAATGAAGTATCTGTTGAATGGTCAAAATATATAAAACGAAAAAATAAAATAGCTTAATTCAACGTTGACATTTATAAATTTGTGTTTCAATTTAAAGATGCTTATCCCGTCCTAACAACGCTGAGTATACGGACATGCGAGATACATCGTTATTGATGCGTGGACGCTTATGGGCGTTCAAGGCCGCATTTGTATATTCTACTCGAAGGTGGTCATTTTGAATAGGTATTTATCGTAATTCTTCGTGCTCTCTTTCGTTGTTAACTTTCCTCCTTCGTTTTGTTCTATGAATTTAATCGTAAAACGTACGTGTTTGAAGTAACGATAAGGACGATCAATTTTCATGGCTGTTCAACATATTTTTTCAAAGCGATTACACGTACAATAAATAATTTGATTTGAAATAATTCATGCGCGATGTTTCATTTTAATGTTTTTCAACTTGTAAAGATTGAAATTGAAATCAAGGACATTGGATAAGATCACTTCGATTCGTTACTTTCCATTTCATTTGACATAATAAATAAAATTTTATTACGTCAAAAACAGGAAGAAAGAATTGTTTTACATCGAATAATTAAAAAAGAAAAAAAAAAGTGAAATAGTTTTAAATATGCGACGAGACATCAGGCTAATCGAATTTATATGTGCTATTTAACGTGTCGAAATATGTTATGTAAAAAAGAAATTCAAACGAACATCTCCGCATTTATTTGCGTACTATGACATAGCGCAGGCCACTAGGATCAAGTTCGGTTATGCACATTACATTTTATATGTACCATAGCTAAACCTATATAACGAGATATAGTTACAAGTTTATTACAGAGATCACTAAAAATTAAACTACACGCGTGTCATAATTCGCGCTCAACTTGCATGAATATGCGCAATGCAATTTTTCTTTTATTGCCTCTATACGAATATTAATAATAATGTTTCAAAGTTACGTGCCAAAATATATCCAAAAAGAGAGAGAGAGAGAGAGAGAGAGAGAGAGAGAAAGAGAGAGAGAGAGAGAAGGAAAAAAGATAAATGTTTTATCAGATCCAAATGAAATAATACAAATTGAACAATCACAAGAAAAATATAGATATGATTCGATCGCGTAAAATTAAGAACTTGTATTTAAAGAACCGTATAATGGGATTAAAAATGTGAAATTAGAAAATTTACAGAGTTCTTCGTTAATAAAAATGACGATTATCCTATCTAACTGTTTATACTTGATTGAGCATAAAAAATCGCTAACTATAGATAGAAACGTTTCGCATTTAAATTAAACGGGTAATCAACGATTAATTCATGTATTTTTCGTTTCTTTAATCGAATGTAAAGTATATATTATATATTTATATATTACGTATAGTCGACGTAGTATTACGAAATTTGGCTGTCGATTGACGTTAGGATCCAGTTACGTTATCGATTAAGAGCATGTTGCCATTTGAATAACATTAACGATTAACTTTTCCTTTTATAACATTCGTCATTCCGTTATATAATCAGCATAGCCAATAGATCAAAGAATCTAACGAAAGGATAGATTTCCTTTTTGATTTATGAAATTCATTTAGGAGAGAAAAAATTTTTTTAGGAGGGACGAGTCTCAAAGGAGCTCGACGTTTTATATAATGATTTCTCGAGAGGAAAGGAAAAAAAGAAAAAGTAAATAAAGAAAAGAGAAGAAGAAGAAGAAGAAAAAAAAGGGAGCGTGTTATGCCGACATAAGGAATAGATATATACGTAACACGTAAGGAATATATATATATATGTAATTATCCTTGCATCCTTTTTTCGATTTAAATGATATAAATGTCGTTAATACACTTTCTTTTCTTTTATTTTATTTCTCTTTTTTTATTTCTTTTATTTTTTTTTTTTTATTTTTAATCATTTATTTGAGAATGTGTTTTATAATTTAAATATCAGATAAGAAAAAGGAAAAGAAGAGAAGGAGAAAGAAAGCAATGCAATTTCTTCGCTCCGTGCGGCGCTACACGTGTTTTGGAATTGTGTAATATTTCTATTTTCTAAAAAGGAGTGAGAGAAATGAATAAAATATTTCTACAAAGAACGAATGAGTATTATATTTGAAGAGGTATTTTTAAAAAGCATCAAGCACGTGCACGATAAAGCCGATAAAAAAGGCAAAAAAAAAGAATAAATAAAGATGAAAAGAATGAAAAAGAATAATAAATATATATTCTGTGGATTAATAAAAAAAGAAAAAAAAAAACAAGAAAGATGGAGATAAAATAAAAAACAAGAAAGAAAAGAAAAGAAACGTATACGTACAGTTCGGTAGCGGTCTCCATGACAAAATCGTTGTTCGATGAATGAGTTGAGTCGCGAGGTGAGGCGATCGCCGTCAGTCGTTCACATGGAGCGTTGCTTCCGCAAAGCCGGAAGTGTCCGATGCGTGATGCTACTCGACGAGAAGAACGAAATGGAGTGAGTAGGAAGAAGAGAGGAATAAGGGAAGAGGAAGAAGAGGAGGAAGAGGAGTAGATGGGTGTTCTCCTTGTTGCAAATTTCTACTCTTCTCTTGTGCGTGTCCAATAATTGTTACTTCCGAATGTTCACGGAGTCCTTTGCTTTAGATCAGGAAAAAGAGAGAAAGAAAGAGAGAGAGAGAGAGAGGGGGAGAGAGAGAGAGAGAGAGAAAGAGGAAAATAAAGATATATTTAAAAAAAAAGGGATAGACAAAGAGAGAAAAGAAAAGAGATAGAGAAAGAAAGAAAGAAAGAAAGAAAGAAGGAGAAGGAGAAAGAGAGAGAAAAAGAGAGAAAGAGAGAGAGAGAGAGAGAGAGAAATAAGAGAAATAGAAAAGGTGATATCAAGGCGAGGAACGAGATGTGGTTCGCGAAATGCTTCGAATCGCCGAGAGGATGTTACGCTGATGGGACCTCTCAATCTGTGCCACCTTGGGTGGTACGATCAGCTATGGCGATCTCCCCCTATAACGACGATCTCTTCCTGCCGCTACGACCTATCCTCTCTTCCCTCCTTCTCCACCTCCTCCTCCTCCTCCACCTCCACCTCCTCCTCCTCCTCCTCCTCCTCTTTCCTCCTCTTGGTCGTCGTCGTCGTCGTCGTCGTCGTAGTAGTGATGCAATATAGACACCAGACAAATACGCGCAGGCGATCACGGGCTACGAGCAACCCATCGAGAAATATCGCACCGGTGGTGAGCGGCTCTATTGTTCGGCTGCTCTCGATCTGTTCACGATCCGCTGGATTCTAACGGGGTTAAACACCACATCACCGTCGATGAACACGCGGGGAACTCGAGATTCTCCTCTTCCGATTTCTCTATCTCTCTCTCTCTCTCTCTCTCTCTCTCTCTCTCTCTCTCTCTCTCTCTCTCTCTCTGCTCTCTCTCTCTTTCTCTCTCTCTCTGTCTCTCTCTCTTTCTCTCTCTCCCCCAACTTCTTCTTCCGCTTTGAACTTCCCACCTAGGGAGCCGGATCAACGCGTCGATCAACGAGCCGATGATCGACCACTAGGCAAACGGTAACAGCAAACGTTCGTTCAAAGAGACTATCTCGAATGATCTCTTTGCGAAATTACAGGCTCTTCCTCCTTCCTTTTGTGATCTGAAAGAGCAGAATGACTAGATGACGGGTAGATATTAGAGATTAGAAAATTAGATTATTTGTACGTTCACGATGGATGGACTGAGAATTCTGACAATTGATTGATATATTCTTATCTACGATTTGATAGGACAAATGATTTGACTACTTCTAACGATGATAAATTATATTTCTTTTATTTTTTTTTGATTTTCTTTTTTTTCTTTTTTTTTTTTTTTTTTCTTCTTTTTTCTTTCCAATAAGGATTGTCATCGTTTGTCCTTTAATTGTTTCGGAATAATCGACTTTCTAACTTATGATATTTTTTAATTCACAACCATAATCTTGGAATATTTCTTCTACCATTCAATCGTACTCTCATCTTCCACGATAAGCGTGAAAATTAACTAAGAATAATGAAACGTAGCAGCTCATCGAAGATGACCAACCGAACTATGAAACAGAGCCGGTCACGGAAAGCGGGTCAAGGCTTTGCCATCTTGATTGTTACTACTCCTACTTTTCATTGAGTTATATATTTACCAGAGAGAGAGAGAGAGAGAGAGAGAGAGAGAGAGAAAGAGAGAGAGAAAGAGAGAGAGAAAGAGAGATAACCGACGACGGGTCCCTCTTACCGGGACAGTGATGCAATTTGAATCTATTATCTCTTGACTCTCTTGTAGATCCGATTAGTCCGAGGAAGTACGTCCTTTTTTGTCGGAACGCTTGTTAAAAATTTTAAACTATTTAAATCTCCACCGATCCGTTAATGCCCGTTATTTATTAAACTTTCTCACGATCCTACACACGTTATCGAAACATTTTATTAATCCAATATAAATTGCCATATATATATGTATGTATGTATATATATATATATTTATATAAATATATATAGGTATATAAGATGAGTCAAAAGTTCTCAAAGTGATTTTAAAAATCAATTACTCTTTTTGTTTTTTGTTACCAAGGGTTTTGCAGCTTTACAATTTGAAAAGAAAAATTGGCCTAAAAAGCCTCAAAAAAGAGTAATAAATTTTTTCAATCAATTATCGAGAATTTTTAACTAATTCATAAAACAGAAAAATCTTGTCGGATGCATTTTTTAAAAAATTATCATATGTAAACAAGAGTTATATATATATATATATATATATATATATATAGAGATTTTTTTTTTCTTTATGTACAATTATTTCTTATCGCTTCATTTTGATAAAAACGATAACCTTTTCATTTCACATAATAATGAAAATATTGTCGATGATTGATCTTCTTATCTTCTCTCTTTCTCTTTCTTTCGGATCTATACTTAAAAACATTAATGGCGTTCATCATAAATGACGTTAATAGACAGAGACAGAGAAAGAGAGAGAGAGAGAGAGAGAGAGAGAAAGGAAAAAAAGGAAGAAAAAAAAAAAGGAAAAAGAAAAACAAAATCAAAGAAAACTGCGTTACATAAGATCGCAAGAGGATAGATCGTAGCAACTGTTATATTCCTTGATGATAACGCTCGTATATCACGCGGGGGAATTATTTCGCACGGCATTTAATTAATCCCCGACAAGAGAGCTGCATCGATGATGCTCTCGTGTGTCGTATATCAAAGGTATAACGAGAGAGAGAGAGAGAGAGAGAGAGAGAGAGAGAGAGAGAGAGAGAGAGAGAGAGAGAGAGAGAGAGAGAGAGAGAGAGAGAGAGAGAGAGAGAGACTGCTGAGAAAGATGGAAATAAAAATGAGTAGAAAACGAAAATAAAAACAAAAATAAAGAAAAACAGAAAAAAAGAAAGAAAAAAAGAAGAATGAAGAGTACTACGAGTCAATGATTATTACAAATGGACGAATAAGTCTACTATATGGTCGAATACGCGTTTACAAACGTAAGTACGTGGGGAATTAATGAACAAAGGCTAGCGCGCGAAGTACAGCGTTGATAGGTCATCACGAAGAGTAGTCCGTGATCGTGTATTCGTAGAGACATATGTACTCTTCAAATCTGAATACTTAATAATCTTAAATTCTTTCTCCCTGTCCTGTATGCTCGATGTCGAGAATCTCCGTCAATATATTAATTTCTCGAACGGAATTATAATGCTTCAAGAAAAAGAAGAAAAAGAAAAAAAAAAAAACCCGCGTTACCAGTTACATGTTTTTCTTCCTCCCCCTCCTCCTCTTAAAGATCAATCGTTCTAGTCGGTAACCAGTTGCATCATCGAAAGAATAATTATTACAGAATAATTTTAATTTTACGATGAAAAAAGATCGTTCGTGAATGTGCCAAAAATGTGTCTCCGAAGAAATTGCATTCTTCCAGCTTGAATTTCATCGAGTACTTGGCAAGTTTGATGCAACAAGTAGATTCGCAATCTTTTAGAAATGTTTCAGGTTCGTCGTAGGAAAGAAAAAATTGTGAACAATTCTTCGGATGAATATTAGAATGTCCTAGAAAGAATTAAAACTGTTTGATAATGACGGAAGCAAGTGGAAGTAGAAATCTAAATGATAAAATAGTAAAGATAGGACAAACGATGTTAAGGTATTGGTTGCGTGCCAATGATTGTTTTTTTTTACTTTTTCTTTTTTTTTTTTTTTTTATCGACTTCCAACTTAACAATTTGTTAATAACGTGAAAATATATGTGTACGCATGTACGTCAAATACGATCGTTCCGATTTCTTTACGAGTTGATAATAAATTTAGTTACACAACGAAAGTACTTCTTTAAATTTGTTGTTTTCTCGTTAAACAGGTTGAAAAAATCAACGTTTGCGAAAGAAAAAAAGATTCGTTCTTACGGGTATATGATGAAGGAAAAAAGTAAAATTCACAATTATGGCATTTTATATTCACAACAACACAGCAGTTGTCACGTTATCAGACGCGAGCCAACAGTGAAACAAAGTCGTGGTGGTAACTATCGTAAACGAGAATCACGTTTCTACGCGATGACGATCGCGAGACTGTGCAGCGCCTTCGTTCGAGCTCGAGGTTCGATCCGCGAGTTCGAAAAGCGCGCGGAAAGTGGTGGGAGGTGGTGATGGTCGACTCGATCCTACGAATCTCTCCCTTTCGACTTTCGCGTGATCTTTCGTAAATAAGACGAACGATAGAATAATGTTTCACATTAGAGAAAAAAAAAAAAAAAAAAAAAAACTATTTTCATTTTTCCATTTATAATATTTTAGTATTATCGTTTATGTATATAATTTATGTATACCTGAGAAGTTGCAATTGAAGTTACATAGTTCTCTCACATTTTTCTTATCTTTATAAGAAATTAATCAGTATAATGCAAATTGATACTTTCTACTTACGTAATAGAATTTAAGATAACAATGAACGTTGTTATCTTCTTCATGAAAAATTATTATCCTCGTATAATAATTTTCTCTCTTTTCTTTTTACATCAAATTAACTTATAACAATGGATATTGTTATAAGTCACGTTAGAAGTGTAAAAATGCAAGTTGATACGGTATCGTCCATTCTGCAATTTCTAGTAATCATTTTGATGTTGATTTGCGTGCATCTTTTATTGTTTACAACGTCAATTTGTGATACTCTTGCTTTATATCAAGGCGTAGAGCCGCCGGTGCAACGAAGCTTAACCAGCTAATCAATTTGTTCTTGCTAAAACGTAATATCAAATAACCGGTTAATTCGAGAATTAAGTGTAGATCGTATTCAACTGCGAAGTATTTTGTGAGAAAAACGAAACAAGGTCGTATGTCAATCCCTTTTTATTTGGCTCTTCCTCCCTCACCTCTTATGTGTGTATTGTAGAAGCTCGTGCGACATGCATGGATGTAACTGCAGGTACGGTGTACCGAGAATTGGATGAATCGCCTGCGACAACTCCGAGTAATTTAAAGTGGAACCATTAATAAGTCCTTGAGCTTCTTCGACACTTATTCGATTGATCCCTGGAAAATCTGTGGACAATAAAAAATTCTAAAACAATTGTCGTACTCTACTTTCAACTAGTAATTATCGATCGATTAAGCAAATAGTCTAAAGTAATATTTTGCAAGGTCATTCATTATTTTATTTTTTAGTACAGAACTTTCGATCAATCCTATAGATAATGAGACGGTGATCTAGTTTTTAAATATCGCCACATTTCATACAAATTTCACAAAACGGAATTGTATTTTAATATTCGCTGAATTATAAATCAAAGAATTTCTTTTCTTTTTTTTTTTTTTTTTTTTTTTTTTTAACAATGATATCACCCTTTTGTTTCCTAATTCTCGCCCTTCAGCAACGGCATATATTCAACGTTATCTACTTCTTCACCGATAGTCGAAAGAAGCCGACAATAGAAGGAACAATGCGGTATTACAATCGTCTTTTTCACGGATTAAGGTCTAGTGACGATAAAACCTCACGCTACAATAGAATTTCTCCCGTATTTCTATTTTGAAGTAGTTTTATCTGATCTTCATGATAAGGTATGAAACTTACATTAATTTTTTTCTTAATGCCACTAACACTTGATGATTTTTAAATTGTACTAGAAAGATGAATATTCCAAAATTTTATCGATATATTTAATTTTTTTTTGAGAAACAAAATCAATGTGAATGAGAAACGCGTCATATAAACAATTGTTAAATCTTTCAAATTATGTAAATAAGTAGATTGAGTCATTTTACTATTCATTATTTCAATGCTGAAAATATATACATGTATCTCTCTTCGCCAAATTATATCGAAAAAGAAGAGCTTAATGATCCTAGATTAATTGCAATTTAGATCACCTGATTTCCATCCATTAAAATAAAGTACTGGCACGCTATAGCTCATAGACCATAAAATGTGATGTTCTATAATCAAAGGCCTTTCGTTTTTAAATGAAGCTTCGTAAGGATCTTCACAAAGTTTTTCACTCCAATTCTCAATTGTTGAAGAATTTTCTGTGTTCATTTCGTTTAAAATAAAATGCTTTTTTTGTCGTACTAAGTATGCTTCCGCAGGAATTTTCTATAAAAAATAAATATTCTTATATTAATAAATATTATTATAAAAAGCAATAGTAAATTATATTCTGAAGTAAATTAGTATTAAAAAAAGAAAAATGAAACATCTAATTTCTTTTTTCAAAGTCAAAAAATTTAAACTTAGTCGGTATCTTCCATATAGTTCATTGATTATGTGAGAGAGTGCGCAACGTTCTTGTTACGACTGAAATCATAGTTGATAAAACAGAATTTTATTAATAATTTTAATAAAAATTATTTATTTTTTAAATTTGATATTTATCTTGTAGCATATAAAAATATTATTGTACAATAACTATAATAATTATTTACAATGCTTTAAATTATAATTTTCACATTTTATCGACCATGTTCTGTTTTACCGAATGGAGTAATTACAGAAAAAAACTTATAAAAATACTATTTCACCTGTGATATATCTGTAATCATTCAACTAATTTAGTTTTTCTATAAATAATAAAAAGTTGTTATAATAAACATGTTTTACTATATATTGATACACAATAACACGATATATTATTATATTATACTATTAATTATTTATAAGAATAAAGGTATATTTTCCATATATATATTAATTAATTAAATATAATTACTTTGTTTCCACACAATTGCCATCCATCAGAAATCTGATCAGAGACTATGATAAAATTTTCAGCATTTGCAAGAAATTCATCCCATGAAATCGTGCCTGGACCATCCATCTCTGTAATTAAAAATAATAAATATTTTATATTAATAAATATGTTCCATCCGAATTATCTACATGCATCTTAAGATTTAGAATTATAAATATTATATATAACCATAATATTTTTTATATAAAGATTTTTTATACTTGAAGTATATATATAAAAAAAAAATATATATATATATATACATAAAAATTATATTATATTATGGGTATATAAATGATTAAATAAATAGTTTATTTCTATTTCTATAAAAGTATTATTACCAAAAATAAAAATTATTTTTTAATCAATGTTATACCGGATGACGATAAGAGATCTCATCAGTCTATTACATAATGACATAATGTGAAAAGGTTCTAAATAATATTCAGCATTCGTTTTATTAAACTTTATTCATATTATATTGTATTTGCTTTCATTACGCTTAATACTTATGCTATAGATAAGCTAAAGAATAATTATTCAGGTTAAAGTTGAAAAAGGGGAAGCAGTACACCCAAGAGAATAGCTTGTCTCCTCCCTTCTGGGTTTCTCGACGCCTCGTCAATTGTCGACTATTTCGTGTCGGGCACATCCGGTAATGTTCGGCTATAATCGGATTCTCCCACTCTTTAGCGAACACACGCGCCGATAGATTTCAACGGTGTGTGCACGCCACAGGACATTGCTCGTATATGCACCAGTCCACGTCCAATAAGATGCAGAGATGCAATCAGGGCCGTATCAACGATAGACAGATATTTACTCTTAATATTACAAGGAACACGATTGTATACGATGCAAATATTTTTCTATGGATTCTATTTATCACGTTTCATTTCCAATGCTTATAAACTATGTTTAATTTTATATACCTCACTTTGAATTTTTTTTTTTCTTTTTTTTTTTTTTTTTTTTATATTAATACTTTTTTTTTATATTGATTTTTATGAAAAAACGAACGATCGACTCAATATTAATTATTAAAAAATATTATCATTACTCATTTGGCCATATCAATCCGTAATAAATAAATTTACCATACGTTTTTTTTTTTTTGTAATAAAAAGGTAGATATTCATAAAAATATGATAGATAGAAATAAAAATGAGCTGTAAATAAAATATAATAAGAAGTAATAACTACCTTTTTATGCTTATTATATATGTTGAATTTTAAAGAAAATCTTTTTAGAAGCTAAAAAGATTTTAGTCTAATGCGCGTATAATCTATAAGAGCGCATAATACTTTATTGGTGAAATCACAAGTATGAAAAATCATCGGATATTCGTATTTCCTAGAGAGAGCTTTAGGTAATAAATTATAATTCAAATCGATATCCTTTATTAATAAAAAATAAAAAGATATATCTATTCAATCCAATATATAATGAATGAATGAATGAATGAATGAATGAATGAATGAAATTAAAAAAAAAAAACCCTTAGCAATTAGACACTGTATTCATTTAAGAACCTCCTTACCCGTTATATTTGACTCACACTCTGTTGCACTTGAATGGCATCGTACGGCCCTGGAATACGGGACAAATAGTTGCGCGCGCAACCTCCACGTTCTTTGCACGACCGAGAGAGAGTTCAACGGAGACGACGTATTGCGATGAGAACGACAGAGAAAGTAAAAGGAAGGGAGAGAGAGAGCGTGAGAGATGGGGAGAAAAAGGAGGGGAGAAAAGAGAGGGAGAGGGAGTACGATCCTCCGAGACGCGTATACGTGTGCGTCGTCGTCGTCGCGTGCGAAGCCGAAAGAGTAGGTAGCACACTTCCGAAGTTGTGCGCGCGTACAACACCGTGAGAGTTCAATTCCTCTCCGCGCATACGTGTTATCCTGATACTACCTTTCGTCCTTGTTCGACCGATAACGCGCGTATGTAACGATAGGGGCGTACGATAGTAAAATTTTCATTTAGGACGAGTGCACGGAAAAAAGAAGGGACGACAGGGCGACTCATCGACAAAAATTTGGAAACTTGTATATGCAAGTAACAGCCAGCGCAACAGTAACGACAATAACGACGAGGAAGGCGAAGGCGACGGAGACGGCGACACCGACAGCGACGGTGGCGGTGGCGGCGGCGACGACGACGACGTCAAACGGACAACAACGACAACACAACGTGAAATCGGTGTGTGCGCGCGAGGCCTTCTCTGTGATTGTGTACGTGTACCTGACTCTTGCGCGTGTCTTTTAGTGGCGCGTGCACGTGTATGTGCGTCGTCGTTGACTGATAGGTACGCGTGAGGTGAGGTGCGGTGTGGTGAGGTGCGGTGCGGTGTGGTGAGGTGAGGTGAGGTACGGTGAGGTGAGGTGCGGTAGGTGAAGTGAGGTGAGGTGTGCTGAGGTGAGTGGCATATCGAAGGGAAAAGAGCGAAGAGAGTGAATTGACCGAACGCGCAACGACGACGACGACGACGACGACTTTGCCATCGTCGCCGCCGTGTGCCGAGAAGAGACAGAAAGAGAGAGAAAGAGAAAGAAGAGAGAGAGAGAAAGAGAAAGAAGAGAGAGAGAGAGAGAGAAAGAGAGAGAGACGCGCCGCGATTTCCATTGGAGAACAATAAGCCTTGAAAAGAGTAAGAGCGAGGGAAAGAAAGCGTGCGAGTGAGAAAGAAAGAAAGAAAGAAAAAAAGAAAAAAATAAATAGAGATAGAGATAGAAAACTATCGTGAAGTGTGCCCTAGAGGTGAGACACGAGAGAACGCGGCCGAGTTCGACGAGTAACGGAACAACGACGCGGGCTCTAATATAACAGAGAAAAATTGACGATACGACTGCGAGAAAAAAGAAAAAAAAAAAAAAAAAAAGAAAAAAAAAGGAAAAGAAATAAATGAAAGCGGAGGAAGCTATAAAAGAAATAAACAAATAAATAAAAAAATAAATAAGAAAAAAAAAAAGAAAAAGAAAGAAAGGAAAAAGAAAAAGGAACAATAATACGACGATGCGCGTACGCGACGCGACTCTTCTTCCGTGATTCGTTGTCATGTCATATGAGGCGAAGCGTCTGCGCCTCGTTCGTTTAGTTGTACAGTGACGCCAACGAGAAAGAGGAATAAGACACGAAGAGAGAAGGAAAATTCTCTGAAAAGTCTAGCGATCGCTTTACTACATCCTCTTCCGCTTTTCGTACGCGCAACTTTTTCTTCCTTTATTTCCTCTTTCGTATCCCTACCCCCTCTTATCCTTTTCTCTTTCTCTTCTTATTCCCTTTCCCCCACCCCGTCCTCGTTTTCACAGAGATACGAAGGTAGCCAAGAGCGCGTCCGTTTCCTCCTCCTCTTCTTCCTCCTACTCCTACTCTTTCCCTTTCCCCTCTAACCCCCCATCCACCCCTCTCTCGCTCTATCCTTCCCTCTCTCCTTCCCTCTCTCTTTCTCTTTACCTCTCTCACTCTCTCCGTTGCAATTCTCCTCCTTCGAACGATAGCCGCAGTCAGACATTGCTCACTTCTCGACCTGACGGCTGTTCTGTGTTTACGCTGGAAGGATTGACAAATCACAACGATGTACGCGAAGGGAAAGGGGTCCAGCGTACCATCGGATGCTCAGGCCAGAGAAAAGTACGTATTTATTGTTAAGCAAAATCCATTTTTTCATCATATTATCCATGCCGATTGATCGACGAGTGACTCCATTTTTCCTTCTTTTTTTTTCTCTCTCTCTCTCATTCCTCTCTCTCTCTCTCTCTCTCTCTCTCTCTCTCTCTCTCTCTCTCTCTTTTTTCCTGCTTTTTGACATTGTGCTATCCTTAAAACGTGTACGTACTTTAATACCGGTTGTTCGTATTTAAGTGAAATCGTTTGAATCATATCGTCGTAATTTATATTTTTAAATTTGAAAATCGTATCTCAATGGCTGACTTCAATGGATCTTCGAAATATTTATCTATTCAGAATTTCCATTTTGGAACGCATAATATAACAGCGTACGATTTCGCGATGGTTCGTTCCATTTCGATAACATTTCATGTTCCTTCGATTATTGTTTACAAATGGATCATTCGATTGTGTTAAAATTTGGAGGGTAAAATGTTAGATGGCGACGGTCGAAAGTTTTTGTTTTCATTAGCTCTCGTAGGACTAAGGAGATAGCGTGTGTTGTCCGTGTTGATAGCTATTTAGTTAAGATTTCGCCGCATAACCTGCTTTCACGCGGTCTTAAGTGTTGTACGCTGTCACTGAATAGAGACGTTTGATTGGCAGAGAAGTCTAATTTCGAACGCCATATTTGTATCTTTCATGAAAGAAATGGTATATACCGTAATGGTTATGTACCAGCAAAGAGATTCTCAAAGAATAATTAATTTAATTATTTATATTATAATTATTGTGAAGATGTAAAATCGTCGATATATAAAAATTAAAATGTATTTTATACATTTACAATATTGAAATTATATTTTTCATTTATGAAAACAATTTATATGAATGCTTTCTCACATCACATGGAGTATTTAAGTCAGATTTTTTTTTCTTTTTTCTTTTTTATATATAGAATTAACTTCAATCAATGATTCAATAATCAATTGTTATTATCCTTTTAGATTAGCTTTGTATGTATACGAATACCTTCTTCATGTTGGCGCACAAAAAGCAGCACAAACATTCCTATCGGAGGTAAGACTGATGGTATAACGATATTATGCTTTTATATTGAATATATGACTATTAATTATATTTTATTGTCGTACAGATTCGATGGGAGAAAAATATAACGCTTGGAGAACCACCTGGGTTTTTACATTCATGGTGGTGGTAAGTTACATTGATCAGATATTTAAAAAATTTATTATGACATTGAACAATTTTTAATTTGTATACAATTGATATAATATATTTCTAGTGTGTTTTGGGATCTGTATTGCGCAGCACCAGAACGACGAGATTCATGTGAACACAGTAGCGAGGCCAAAGCTTTTCATGATTATGTAAGTTATTTTTTAACATATTAAGCAAATTTTATATTATTTTCGATTATTACTAAACATATTTATGATAACATTTGTTATTTGAAAATAACATTAAATAATTTATCTTTTGAGGCATCTTATGCAATTAGACTGATACGATAAATATTTTTGTCACAGGGTTTTGTGAACAGTGGTTATGGCGTTAATGGAATTGCACATGTAAGTTGTTAATTATATCCTTTTTACTTATTTATTTGTTTTATATACGATCATATATGTATATATATATATCTATATAAAATAAATATTCTTTTGCAATACATAACAAAAACATTATTGCAGAATGCTGGCCCAGCTCCATCTCCAATTGGACAGATGCCACCTAATGATGGTATGCCTGGTGGTCCAATGCCTCCAGCATTCTTTCCAGTAAGTTTTTGTTTTTTGAAACTAATGTAATCAGTTATAATTATAATATACTTCCACTTAAAAGTTTTACTCTGAAAGTATTATTGGTAATATATTATATATATATATATTCGCGAAAATAATAGTAATTATATAAATATTTTATAGGAACAGTGCAAGAAAAAGATACATTATTACTTATGTATTTTCTTATATTTCACGAAGATAATTAAGTATTATCTAAGATATAAATGACAACATGAAAATAATTTGTCATTTGTCATTGTTATGTTTACATACATATTCATTCATTACATTTACACAAACACACATGAGTGTAGTCATACTATATCCCTTAGCTCTCTTTTGCTACGATGCACGTAATCACATCTTGCTCACGTACATGTATCTGTGTGTGCGTGCGCTCATATCGTCATCGTCAAATTTTATATTTAAGACAAAAATATAAGGGAATTAACGAGGTTAACAGTTCATCAAATCACGATTTATTAAATTTCTAAGTTCTCTTATGATTAGGGGCATGTTTGCAGTTTTTAAAAAAAAATAAAAAATGAAGGATATTCACATTGGTAATTGAATAGTTCAATTACATTATTATCTAGTCAATAGGATTTTTAATCATTCAAATATCGAACAGAATTATTGATTACTTAGACAGATAATTTAATTTTAAAATATTGTTATATATAATTTTAGTATCTGGATTTTTATCTAATATCTTTCATTGATAATTTATTGAATTAACATATGTTATCTACCGAAACATTTATCTGTTACTATCATTATATTTAAATATCATGTAAATTAAATTTAGTTCAAAGCATGCAATATATTCAAATTTTATTACATCGATAATAAAATTATAATGATTATTTGTAATTATATATATATATATATAAAATATCTTTATCACAAATGTATATTGAAAATACTTAACATAAATCTTATGCAATAACAAAGTGATGACACATATAGGTAGAATCAAAATGTTTTTGTAAATATTTTATATATGATCATCCATTACGAATTTATACAAGAAAACTTTAAAAGTTTGGAAAATTAAGAAAGATTATATTTTAAAGAAAAATGTATATAAGAAATGCATACCCTAATTTTCTTTATCTATACTTTTTATGTTATATGTTCGTTTTGATACAAGTGTACAATGAAATAATATTCTTGTTATGCTTTGTTACACTGTATTTACATATATACTTCCTTTTCTCTTTGCTATGTATTTAACTCTTGTATGTGCGTCCTTGTTCTAACTTTTCTATCTTATTTCTTTAGTGAATAACGCAAGTCTAGACATTTCACACAGACAAGGGTTATATAAATGTTAGAATAGTACTAGCTCGAAAATCCCAGTATAGTATGCACATAACTCAGTTGAGTGTTTGACCTTGTGCTGACATTATTTTCTTAAAGTTCCGTTTTTTTTTACTCGATACAGTTTCAAATTTTTAGACAAGACAATTTATAATATACGCACATGTATATTTAAATTCTTTTTTAAGAAGGGCTATCAGTAAATATATAAGATATTTATAGGATTTATAATATGTGTATATGCTATGTGTATATGTATGCAATATTCATGTTTTTAATAACGAATATTACTGTGGCCTTAACGCATTGTGCTAAATGTCTATTTTAAAAATAATTTCTATTTTAAAAAATAAAAAAATGAAAATATATATATATACCTTATATGACAATAATTTAAAAAAGCAAATGCAAATTTCGACAGTATATCGAATGAATGCATTTTGTAAATTTAATCTAGTCAGCCAAGCGTATACTCTCTGGAAAATATTGCAGATATAATTTATAAACTTCCCTATATAGTAATTTAATATTTTTGTAAATGATCTATAGAATAGAACAGTCTCCTGAAATATTGCTGTAAATTTAACCTTGTATATAAAAAAAACAAAGCAGATAAAATTTCATGGATATCAACAAATTAAGAATATATGTATATATTAGTATACATATTAATATACACGTATGAATACACATGTACATATGTATATATGCATATATATACATGTAGAAAAAGGAAAAAAATTTAGTTATGCATATGTTGCTCGTTCAAATCTTTATTATTTTTGCGTTGAATTATTCTTGTGCGGGATGACTTAAAATTTATAAATATAACATACAAGGTGTCATAGAGAAAAATTAAATTGCTGCAAAAAAGCTATATAATTTTGGATTCATAATAATTAATTCAAGAAGAACCTCATGTGTTTGTTAAAAAATAAAAATTGTAATTATTTTAACAAAGGATAATTATCTGTGATGTACAATGTATAATATAAGGTGATCGTCTTTAAAATCTGTTGTATTATGTTGTTAAAATATTATTACAATTATCAAGCAATGTTGTGCATGTTTATATAAATTTAAGTTTCATTTCATTTGTTTCATCAATTTACAGAGCTATGCTGTTATGCTTTCATTTCATATATTATTATTGCTTTGCATTTATTTGTTTTTGTTTTCTTTTCTTCTATTCGTTTTTTTTTATGTACATATTTATTATTTACATAACATTTTTTAAAATTATTATTTTTTTTTTTTAATTAATATATATATTTATTTTTGAATTTTTCTTTAAAAATATTATTTCTAATTGAATCTATGACTTATATAGCTTTTTTTTTAATAAAGAGAAATATCTTTCTTAAAATAATATATAAAATCTGAATTTCTTGAAACATAGTCTATTATATATGATAAAGACAATGTTTTTTATATAATTTTGAAATGTTCAATTATTAATACATAATATGGTACAAAGCGTGTATTGCAGTTTTAAAATCAATTCTAATTTTTATAAATATGACAAAACAAATTAATATATTATTTCATATTTACTATATTATACATAACAATATAAAATGTGATATCAAATGTACATACAACAGAATGAAGTCCCATTTATTGAAAAAATATCATGTAGATTTATTTGTTGGCTATAACAATCAACATATTTGTAAGATGTTGAAAAATATCTAGTATATTAACACGATCATCCCTGAGCCTTCTAGTTTAGCTGTTGCCTGGATCGCAGTGTTGCTACATGTCTGTCGTTTGCGTTGCTTGTTGCAGAACAACTCGACAATGCGACCATCTCCGCCCACACACCCCTCATCACAGCCATCCCCCCAGCACCCCCAGCCACCCCCGCCCCCACACTCGCAGATGATGTCCACTCAGGTAAGCGCCATTCAACACACACTCTCGCTCATGAAGAATTACTTGTTCCACACTCATTACACTACATCATTGTATACCCAAAATCATTTATTTATTGTCACTGTTTTCCTTTCAATGTTATTTTCATCATCTAATTTTTTTTTTTTTTTTATTTTTTTTCTTTTTTTTTATTCCTCTTTTTTTTCCCATGTTTATTTGATAATGAAAGAGCAATTGTAAAAGTATTATCCTAACAAATGTTAATAAAGTACAAAAGAAAAGTTTATTTTATATGTAGGAGTTATTAAGTCAAATATATGTAAAATTATTTTATATATATTTTATATAATATATATTTTATATTATATAATATATATCATTACTCTATTAATAACATATTACCTCTCAGGTAGGAATACTGCATATTGTAATTGTTTTATAAGGAAGTGATTATAATTTGATACGACTAATTTTACATGATTTACTCAACCTATCGTTCACTCTATGAACTGCATATTGATAATGAATTGTTATTGAAATATTTTTTATACATATAAGTTTATTATGAGAATTTTTATTAAATATACAGTGGATTTATTTCTTGTTACAGTTTATGGGCCCAAGGTATCCTGCTGGCCCACGACCAGGAGTACGTATGCCACAAATGGGAAATGATTTCAATGGGGTAAGCTTGATTATTACTTTGTAGTATATTAGATATTATAATATATTGATAAAAAATTTAACACAAATGTATTGTATCATAAATATGTAATCATTTTATTTTTATTTTAGCCACCTGGACAACCAATGATGCCAAATAGCATGGATCCTACTAGGCAAGGTAAGAATTGATTTATAATATATATATTGGTATCATGTTTTTTTTTTTCTGGCATTGACAAGTGTTGCGAGAGGAGAATGGCATAGACGCATGCGTACCAAAAACCACACAGCAATAAATGAATAAGTAATTTAAAAATTGGATTGGATTGCTGTGATGTGGAGTGGATTGGTTTTTGAATTGTCTAATTATAAACAGTGGTGTAGTTCTCATCTTTGCTTATTATTAATAATTTATATTATTTTTTACATATCGCAATTTATGTTTATAATATATAGTTTATGTTTATGATATATATGTTTATATACTCTTTGGAAAATATTTTATATTATTTAATTTTTCATAAATCTTATTATGATTATCAGTAATAATTCTTTAATTATTATTTCTTATTCTTTTCTTTTCTTTTTTTTTTTTTACATATATATATATATACACACACAATAGATTATATTTTTTGAAAACGGCAAAGGTATAAAATATACGCATATTATTTTATAATACACATGCGCGCGTACACACACACACACACACATACATTTTTTATATATATATAAATATATATAAATATATATAAATATATATAAATATATATATAAATATATATAAATATATCTAAGTTAAAATATTATTCCCCTACACCACTGTAGAATAACTAGGCTTTATGGCCATCATCCTGACCTTACCTACCTGCCGTACTAATGTGTGCTCTTGTGTTCCTCAGGCGAAGCTGGAGAATTTGTAGGGTGGCAAGGTAGGAAGCAACTCGGCAACCGAATCACACTCACATGACTTAGTCAAGCCTAACTTCTATTTTTTTTTCTTCTCTTTGCATTCAATTTTTATGTTTTCACCTTTTAAAATAGAGTTGCACTAGCTTTGCAAATTCCTTGCGAATTAGTTGCTCATCCAATCTTTGCATTGAGCATGGCAATTATAATATAAACGTGTTTAAACAATATGAAACTTCTACAATATTTTATATCATGCAAGCAAATATACCTTTTACTTTTATCAAGCTTTCTATCAATTGCAAATATGCAATGACATATGAAATTGTGGATTGTTTTTATATTCCTTTACAAGCAAATTCTGCAAAAAAATTCTTAATTTTTAAAATACAATAATACACATATTATATTTTCAAGGTTTTATTGTTTTTATTTTAAATATGAAACATTTGAAATATGCAGAATATTTGTTGGGAAGGAATATTTGAGAATCGAGTATGTACTTCTTATACACGAATACATATTTATGCACTTAATAGAATTAAACACGAAATTTTTTTTTTTTTTTTTTTTTTTTTTTTTTTTTTTTTTTTTTTTTTTATAAAAAATATATCATCATTATAAATGGATTATTCAATTTGTTTGTGTCTAACTACAACATGTTACACATGCATAAATATCTAATATTCTGTTTCAATTCATAAAATGTGCTAAGTGTAAAAAAAATATAAATGAAAAAGAATTTTTGACAAAAATACAATATAATTTTATATGTTTCATGATAAAATAATTACACATCTATGATGTATTAATATTCGTAAAATTACGAGGATTTAAGAGTTTGTTTTATAAAGAACAAAATTTCGAGAATGGATTGAAAACGTCATATTAACTGTGGCATATTTATACTCTATTTTTTAATTTTTAATACTTGAGTATAGTATGAATTTAAAATGTCAATGCTATTTTTATTCTTAGCATGAGCTTTTTGTGATAGTATGCGCGGACATAATCATTGTATTAGCATGTCATCCAATTGCTTTAATATAGACTCCGGCAAAGCATGAGTTTTATTTGATGTTTGAAGGCTAAACTTATAGCTATATATTATGCTTAATATAGTATATGACTCATATGCAGATTGCGATAATTAAACTGTTACAATGGATGCAGTTCGATTAAGATCGTTTTCAATTAAAAAATTATCAAGTTACAACGTTATATTCTCGAAAAGAGGTCATAGAGAAAATTTGTATCTAATGTTATTCAAAAAGATGTATTAATTAAATCTAATTTTTTAACAAGCTTAAAATTAACACGTACTGTCTGTACATGATTTGCCGGCAGTCTATAAAATCGTGAACAGCATTAGTATTAACATAAAATTAGAATCATATAAAAATATATAAAATAACATAATTAAAGATTGCACATATTTTTCCTTTTTTCTATAGGCCCTCCAGGAATGAATCCTATGAATCCACGAATGAATCCTCCACGAGGCCCTGGTATGGGTCCAATGGGACCTGGAAGTTATGGTCCCGGAATGCGAGGGCCACCTCCTAACAGTAGTTTAGGTCCTGGTGGTCCAGGAGGTCCTGGTATGCCCCCTATGAGTATGGCTGGACCAGCTGGAAGACAACAGTGGCAACCGAATACGTCAACGGTACATTTATATTAATTATAAATTACTATTCGTGCTATTGTAATGCTTTTTTTCGTGGTATTGCGATTCGCCACAGTTTGTCGCTATGCACAAATGAAAATTTGGATACGCTTAATGCGATTCATTATGTACAGCCGATGAATTACTCGTCATCATCGCCGGGTAACTACGGAGGTCCACCAGGTTCGACTGGTCCTCCGGGCCCAGGCACGCCAATTATGCCCAGTCCTCAGGACAGCAGTAATAGCGGCGGAGAAAATATGTATACCATGATGAAACCCGTACCTGGTGGAAACATGCCTGGAGTAAGCATACGAGTATGGGCATGGTCGTGTTTAAGTTCTTTGAAGGAAATTTTCTCTCATTAAAAGAGAAAAAAGAACATGTGATAACAGCATTCATTGAAATGAAAGGACATTGTCGATATACCAAAAATGATTCTTTCATTAATTTGGATACGACCATTGTCTATTGCGATTGCTAATTCTCGATGTCATTCCTGTCTTTTTTTTTTTTCTTTTTCTTTTTATTTTCTCAAGAAGATATATATGTATATATATCGAATACCATTTTTATTTCATTTTAAATTATAAAATAATGCAACAACGCACATATTTCTCATTTGTTCTCTCTCAAAAAATGTTATGATTAAGAGCGTTATCACGTTGTCATAGGATTTTCCAATGACCGGAGGTCCAGAAGGTGGTCCGATGGGACCTATGGGTCCTAACACAATGGGACCGGTTTTAAATGGCGATGGTCTTGATGGAATGAAGAATAGTCCAGCTAATGGTGGACCAGGAACACCACGAGAAGACAGCGGAAGTGGAATGGGTGACTATAATCTGAGTGGTTTTGGAGGACCTGGAGAGAATGTGAGTATTAGCAGATTCTTTGATAAATTCTTTTAACGCGATTATTCGCGACGTGTTAATATGGACTTGTATATAATCGG